ACAACGAAAAAGTTGCAATCATCTCAGAGTTTTGCTACTACAGGAGATGTCATTTGCTACTATCAGAGTTTTTTCTGTACCGGCGATTTTTTGCTACAACCATAGCTTCATTTTGCTGGAACCAGGTTTTCAAAATGATTCAACAGGGTGCTGCGACACAGAGCTGTTTCTTTGACAACTTTTTTTGTTGCGAGTGTCGACGGCGAGCATCGGCAGCGAGCACGGCACAGCGGCGAGCATGACGCGGAGCTGCAACCACGACGACATATGTCAGGGCTGGCTACTGTCAGTACCAAAAAAGCTGCAACAGTTGTCGCTTGTGCTACTGCCGGCATCGTTGTTTGCTACATACTTCACGGCTTAGCTGCGACGTGCAACGACGGCGGCGATCAACAAGCTATATGTTTTTGCTGGAACGAAGACTATGTGTGCTACAACCGGCTTTGGCAGAGCTACCATGGGTGAATTTTTTTGCTACAACCATGTACGGGTTAGGTGTGACCTCGGTAGGGAGCTGCAACAGTTGATGTTTTTTGCTCCTACCGACATCATTGTTTGCTACATGCTTCACGACTTAGCTGTGACATTCGACGATGGCGGCGACGTTTTTGCTACAACCGCCGCTGGATTTTGCTTCATCCGTTCGTGGATTAGCTGCAACCTGCGACGGCCACGACGGCGATTCGCTGCAACTGTGCTTCTGTTTTGCTACCACCGGCAAATATTTTTGCTACATCCATGCATATTTTTGCTACGACGGCGCTTCAAACACGGTGATGAGCAAATCTTCTTGCTGGAGACGACAAAGGCCGGTTCCAGCAAAATGTGAGTACGGTTCCAGCAAATCTTCTTGTTGGTTCCAACATTCCTCGACCATTTTTTGCTGGAGAGAACAGGAGGCCATGTTTTTGCTGGAACTGGTGATATGGTCGCCACCGGAGCACGGTCGTCGTGCACTGGAGTTGCGAGTGTCGCCATCGAAGCTGCAAGCCTGCAACCACGGGCACACGCTGATGCATCCACAGAGGCGAGAAAACGCATGAGGTGATCGACCCCGGTGAGGGCGGTGGTCGGCGGCGATGAGCAGGATGCCGGTGAGGGCGGCGGCGACGAGCAGGACGCCAGTGAGGGCGGGCGGCAGGCGGCGCAGTGCTGCGACCAGAGGCGGCGGCGTGCAATCGAGGACATGCACGAGATGCGGGACCAGCGAGAGGAAGGAGAAGCTTGGGGCAAACCGTTTTTTTGCCCAATCCAATGGCCCACCTGGATCGCATCCGACGGATCACGCTCGACCGGCCGAAACCGTTGGGCCGGTGCGCCGACGCGTATTAGTGGCCAATCCCAAACGGTAGAAAACCAGTTTCGGGGAGTCGGGTTTTTTTTTTTGCGGGATGAGTTTAACGAGTTACAAATTCATCAGGCAGAACATATATGCAAAATGGTACTGAATAATTCGAAAAATCATCCCACCCGAGAATTTGATCAGTGACATAAAAGAACGCTTCACAAACGAACAACAAACAAATACTTCTACTTTTGACCCCCTATTCTTCTCCTATTTTTAAACTTAATTCACATGGCGAGTGGGAATATTTTCAAGTTTCTGGTCTTTTTGAGAATCAAAACCTCTATTGGGTTTTCGCTACCAGGAGAAGGGAATGGCCATGTTTGATGGGGGCTGATTTCTATTTCTAAATATACAAACAAGTAGTGCTTGATGGCGCGCCCATGCGAGATCATGCTCAGTCCTGAGAACCCCTCTGCATTGTTCGCCACCGCGTGCTCACCAGCATCCATCGACGGTGGCGCGGCACCTACGAGACAAGATGATCGAAGCCAGCCACCTTTGTTCTGGTGGAGTTCGCCCTGGGGCCTTTGAAATCCCAGAGCCGGCCCTGGAACCAGGGCTGATTCCTATTTCTAAATATACAAACAGGTAGTGCTTGACGGCACACCCACCCGAGCTCGTGCTCAGCCCTGAGAACCCCTCTGCATTGTTCGCCACCGCATGCTCAGCGGCAGAGTCCATCAACGGTGGCGCGGCACCTATGGGCAAGATGACCGAATCCAGCCCAAGTCTGTTCAGCCAATTGGTGGATTCCTATTTCTAAATATACAAACAGATAGTGCTTGACTGCGCGCCGACGCGAGCTCGTGCTCAGCCCTGAGAACCCCTCTGCATTGTTCGCCACCGCGTGCTTAGCGGCAGAGAACATCGACGGTGGTGGGGCAAGATGGCCA